AATAATAATAATAATAATAATAATAATAATAATAATAATAATAATAATAATAATAATAATAATAATAATAATAATAATAATAATAATAATAATAATAATAATAATAAGAATAAGAATAATAATAATAATAATAATAATAATAATAAAATAAAAAAAAAAAATAATAATAATAATAAACAATAATAATAATAATAATAATAATAATAATAATAATAATAATAATAATAATAATAATCACTATCATCATCCTCAATCATTATATTCTACTTTTGCACGTACTTTCGTAGAGAAAATTCACCACAACCAAACATATTCTCATTTCTACACCTACATAAAACTAAAAATACCCCTTCATCCAAACATATTCTCATTTTCTACACAAAAACCAATAAACTACTTTTTCCATCAGAAATTTTGAAAACTAGAAATTCCCATTGGAAACATAACCAAACATCCCCATAGATTTTCAGAGAAAAAAATCCACGAAAAAAAATATTTTTTGCATTTTTTGGGGTCTTCTACGGCGTCTCCAGGTAGTAGCTCACCATTATGCACCAGATGCCTGATCCGGATCCAAACCTCCCCGTTATTTTTCCGCTTTTTATCGTTTTCTTGGACGATGGCGGCGATTAGGGCTTTGGCGGTGATGGCGATTAGAGCATTGACTGGAGTTTAGTAATTTTGCTGAGGTTGCTATGATTGCCGGAGGTGGTGTTGTGAGTTTGGTGGTGGTGGTGATTTCAATGGGAAAGAAGAATTTTGGGTAAGACATGTTCTTTTTCTCTGTTTGGAGGCGGCGGCTTGACGAAGGTGATTGCCGGTGGTGGCGGTGGGAGTGTGCCAGTGGTCGTGAAAATTTCAATGGAGAAAGAAGAATTTTGGGGAAGACGCAATTTTCTCTTTTTCCTTTTCGTTTTTCTTTTTTTTTTCATAAAAAATGTGTTATTTTTTCTTTTTTTAAGATTTTTTAAAAATTGCAATATGATCCAAAGTTTTGGATTAATTATATTTAAATCTAATTGGTTCATGTTTGGGAAAATTACAATTCAATCCCCTAATTTAATTAGTTTCAGACATTTAGTAACATTGCAATTTCGCCTCTATTATATATTAATTCTAATTTTATGTTATTAATTGAAGGGTAGTATAGTCACTTTCTTTTAGTCAACATATTTATTTCCATTAGGTGACAATGAGCTAAATAAAATGCAATATAGGGGTTAATTACTAATTATTTTAACATGGACGTGATTTAAACCATAAACCTCTATTTTAATAATATAAATAGGTTGTCTCAATCAACTTATAAGCTGATGCGTTTGCATAATAAACATTTCAAATGTGCTTATAAATTAGATTTGGATTAAAAAAAGAAAAAAAAAACAAGAAAAATAATTAACCATCGTTAGTCTTCTCCCTTTTTTCTTTTAAATAATTAATTAGTTGAATTCGGTTCCCAACTTCCAATTATTTGATTAAAAAAAGACTTAATTCGGGTTTGCGATTAAAGTCCATCTAGATTGTGACCGTTGATCTACATTGTTCACGAGATCTTATCCTATAATTTTTTTTTTGTAACAAACGTAGTGGAGAACTTGTGCACTGCTCACCAGTATTGAACAATTTGATTATCTTTAATTTTGAGGAATTAGTCAACTGATTTGGTTTGTGGATTCATGTAAACGGCGTTGACTTTTGAATTCCAATTTGTCTTGCTCAATTTTTTTTTTTCTTTTTGCAACACCGACGAAGTAAGAAGCACACAACTTGAATTTTGATGGTAACTGTGTAATGATTATCTTTTAATGTGTGGTCGGTTTTTGTAACAAAGTTCAAACTTGTGCTGCTCCTAATTTATTTACCCGGTCAACGACTATTTTGACCAATTCTTTTTTTTTTTTTTTTTTAAGTTGTTAGATCATATTTTAATAGTAGGGTTGATAAGTAAAATTAAACTACTTCAACTTGAGATGGATTGTTGAAATGTCGTTTTCGTTCTATAATATATATGGATTGTTCGATTGAAACTCGAGTTCATTATAACAAAAATAATTGAATATTATAAAAAAAATTCAATCTACTCGAGCTCATTTCACATTCCACTCAATTAGAGTTTGTTTTAAGTTCGATTCCAGTGATGATAGTTATAAATTGAAAAAAAACACAATTTTTAGTATTGAGAATTCAAACAAAATTGGAACGTTTTTTGGATAAGTTGTATAATAAAATTAGCTTGAAACCAACAATTTCACTTTCTCTGTGTATTATGTACGTACTAGTGACAACCTATGTAACACGAAAAATTTCAACTTTTTACTGTATTTGTGTTTCGAACACTTTTCGTGTCCGACACTCGAGGACACCTATCGAACACCTTATGAGTAATTTTGCAATTTTTGAAAAATTAGAAACATATTTGAATAACAAATCTTCAAATATTTTGTTCCTTCACTAATTATTTACATTTAATTTAATGATCAACTGTAAATTAATAGTTAATAATAATATTTATTTTGAACATATTTATATGGAAATATACAAAAAGAATTTATGTAAAAAAAAAACAGCTTAATATAATTTTGCACCCTTGAATTAGACCTTTTTGGCACTTTGCACCCTTCAAAAATAATAATAGGACTTTGCATCATCAGAACACAATAAATCATTCACAATGCACCATGAGTTGAATAATAAAGGCAATTTCAATTTTTATTGGTTTTTTTTTTTTGGAATACAAAATAATAAATTAAATTGTAAATCATTCACAATGCACCCTGAGTTGAATAATAAAGGCAATTTCGATTTTTATCGGTTTTTTTTTTCGGGATACATAATAACAAATGAAATTGTTACTTTCGGCGCGAAAAAATAAAAATCGCACCGGATTATTAAAAACAATTATATTTTGTTACAAAATAAAATAAAATAAACTTTTATCACTAAGTTATTCGATTGATGGATCTTTTATTGCAACTGGTGAAAATATTAGGTAAAAACTATTTGGAATAAATATGATTTTCAGATAACTTGATAACGAAATAGCTGAATGTTTTTTTTTTGTAAAATATTTTTTTGTGATAAAAAAATATAATTTTAAAATATGTCGATGAGATGTATTTTTATTCGTATTCTTATAATTTCAAAAATAAGTGATGAATAAAAAAAAAGGATTTGACATCTGCCTTCCTAAAAAAATTCCACTAAAAATATTAAATTACTTTTATTAGCTTTAAAAATTCATTTGGGGTGCATTATGCTCGATTTATTGTTTTTCAAGAGTGCAAAATGCTATTAATTTGTTTTGATGGTGCAAAGTGCCAAAATTATATATTTTATGGGTGCAAAGTGGGATTAAGACAAATAAAAACTTATATGTTTATACAATATATATTTATAAATATATCCTTATACTTCTAATATTTACACGTGTCTCCTAAGTTTTCGTATCCTCATTTTTTAGGATATGTCGTTTCTTCATATCGCCGATTCCGTGTCCATGCTACATAGGTCACAACAAAAGAATTTTAAGAGTTTAGAATATTTTCACTAATCATAGTAAAAATATGTGTTCAGTGTTCACACATTCTCCACAAAATTACATTTCCCCAAAAATTCTCTTATAGGTAATAATACCTTTTCTACCCCTCATTAGCATTTCAAATTCAAGATATCCGTTACAAACACCAGAAACCCCCAAATTCAAAAACAAAGCTCACAGTGAAATCAGTCCACTGTAATTTTTACACACTCCATCTCCAGTCGGCCGGATTTCTTCATATTTGGAATTGAACCAACAATGGGGAAACTCGAAGCGAAATCTGACTACGAAGAACTCAGAAAATCTCGTATTGTCGAAAACCAGGTTTTTTTTTTTTTTTTTTAACTCCTTTAACTGTCATTCATTTGTCGATTTGGTCACCATTTTCACCTTTATTTGTTTGTGCGCGAAACAGGCGAGATTAGCTTCTCTCGGGCTTCAGAAAACCATATCCGAACTTCGATCTCTGAATTCGTCGCCGAAATCGGATAAAACCCATGTTAGAAAATACTGCAAAGCTGATTACAGCTCCACCCCTTTGCGCCGTTCGTCTCGATTGAGTGGAAAACCGCCTTCGTCGAAAGGTGCCACCTTTGAATTTATTGTGGTTTCTGTGTGTGTGTGTGTGTGTGTGAAGTTATAGTGAGATTATTTTTTTAATTTAATTTTTTTTAAATGGTTATGTGAATACAGGGGAATTATGCTATTCGAGTGAAAATGAAGAGGAGGAGAGGGGTGTGCACGGGCATACGGTGAGAGCTAGAAGGGGTACGAATAGGCGGCAGATTCCGACAGAAGCTTTGGCTCGGCGCTGTGAAAGCAAAGGCAGAGGCAGTTTGTATGATCCTCTTTATGGGATTTGCTGCCATTTCTGCAGGTTAGCTGTTCGACGATATTCCTCTTACATCATTGATCAGTACTTACTTGTTTTGATATATGCATATATTTTGCATTCCTTGGATTCTTGAATTGTATGGTGGTTCGATATATGCCGATGTCGTAATTGACGGGTAGTTTTAGATACGCATATCTGATGTTGTCGTTGGATTTGCTAAAAAAGAAAACGAGTAAAGCAGGGGAATCTTGGAGTCTTGATATTATGAAACTATCACTAGGTTTCAAGATAGCATAAGAAATCTTGAAAGCGTGAAATGTCGAAATAACACGCCGTTTCTCCGTCTGCGAATTACATGCTAATTTACACGAATCTAGCTAAAATCTATACTTAATACGGTGCTTTGTTTGTTTCTAAATCATATTAAGCAATCATGTACTTGGTTAAATTGCATACATTAAATTCAATGTTTTCGTTTTTTTACTATTTCCACATTGACGAATGCAGGCAAAAGAAACTGTGCGGTGAAGAAGGTTGCAAACGTTGCGGTGATATGGATATGAATGAACCGTGCATAGGTTAATTAGTTTTGCAAAAATCCACGATTATCTTTGTTTACTATATCACTCAATGACCTCGGGTAATGATAATATAACATATCCAAAAAAAAAATGTTTCTTACAGGCAAAACAGATTGCTCGGTTTGTCATTCTACCAACGGTATCCTTTGTCGGGCCTGTCTGAAAATCCGCTACGGTGAAGGTATGTCAACAAACTCTGAAATTGTGAACAAAAGTTCTCTTAAATCAGCAAACTTATTCATAATGCTTATTGTGTGTGTGTGTGTATATATATATATTTATGTCTGTTAGAAATGGAGGAAGTGAGATCGAATAAAGAATGGATGTGTCCTCACTGTACGGAAGAAAAAAAAATCAACCCTTACTGGATATGTAACAGGTATTTTCTTGTCGGGCGTATCAAAACATAATTCAAGCTCATTTAAAACACTTTTTTTTTTTGTATATTTATTTCTTCGGACATTGTTAAAGCGTTGTGTGCTCTTTGTGTTATGTCCGAATATGAACAGCTCGTTTTGTCTGAAGAAGCGAAAGATGATTCCAACTGGTATAGCTATATATAGAGGTTTGTATTCCATTTCTTTTTTCTTCTTCTTCTTCTTCTTTATGTAAATTATTAGTGATACAAAATCTAACTCTGTCGGAATTGGAATACATATATATACATATATATACAGCTAGAGAAATGGGATACAAATCGGTGGCGCATTTGCTGATGGACGAGCTTCAACAAGCAGATGCAAAGAAGATGATGGTTGTTAAGGCTTAGCTTAATGGTATTGATTTTTTTCTCGGGTTTAGCGAATTCAAGAAGAAATTGTAAGGCCGATTTAAGAAGAAACAAAAAAATGATGTAAATTATATGTTAGGTTTATTGGAGCAAATTTACTTTTTGCTCATAGGCATATTTGGATTATGGAGTTAAATATATCATCCAAACACAGGACTGAATATCATTTTGATATTTGATTCAAGATCCGTCTTTAAAAGCTCATTTTTCGCTCGATTTGATAATATGACGAACCAAACTTGGACATATTTTTTGCTCGATAAAATACAACAAAATTTTCTAGTTTATACTCGTTATGTACAAAAATGCAGTCAGTTTATGATGCACATCTTATGATCATCTTGTTTCAATATGTGGTGCTCAAATTGGATAAAATCATAAAAGGAGTACAAACAAAAAAATATTCCCCATAATGTAGAATATTCCACTAAATTTGATACTCAGGGGTGTGGTCGTAATATACCCTTCAATAATACTGTAAAATCTACAAGGGCTCTTTTGGTTTGAAGTATGGGATAGATAATTTTTTTAGGATTATATAATTAGAGCTAATAGCACAGACCCCCCTGTGTTATTTGTAATTGTTGAAAAAGTCCTTATGTTTTAAAAATTAACAAAAACCCCCCTATGTTTTATTTTAAAAAACACACAGCCCCTAATTTAAAAAATAGTTGTTAACTTACGTGCAATGACTCTAATGCCCCTACTTATTTTTGACTAATATTTTAATTTTGATCAAACAAAATAAAAGAAAATATTAATTAATATAAAAAATAAAAGAAAAGGTAAAAAAATTGAACTCTATCTTTCTCATCCCAACCCAGCAACTTTTCATACCACACCCGCCGCCGTACCACCACATCCGCCGCCGCACCACCACTTCAAATCAGTTGATTTTCTCTTCCATTTTACTCATCTTCTGACAACAAATTCTGCCAAAAAAATAACGCTGAAAAAGCTACCCTAATCCCCTTCCCCCGTCGAATTCCGATGAGTACATACTCGGACCACCGCGTATGAGAACAGTAAAGTCCAAATCATTTCGCAATGCCAAGCGGGTTCCCGAATTGGGTGCTCCATTTCTGCTTCGAGCAAATGCAATCCCCCATGGTAGAAAATTCTATTGGGCATCTATTCGGTTGGGTTTTTTTTTTTTAATAATTAATTTAAGATTTGAGAAGGGGTTGGGTGGAGGAGATGCTTAACTTTTTATTTATAATATCAGCTTTTGAATTTTCTTGGAGATTTAATCAGGTGGAGCTACTATGACGGATCGGAAGCTGATGGTGGTTTTGTTTGCAGGGGTAAATATTAGATATACTCAGCCCTTTTGGTAATTTCATTTTTTCCTTTTGATCTGATTACACAATCACACCTCTTGGGGTGGTGGTACCGGGCTTTAATCAGTACCGGGTTTTTATCTTACAGACCAAACGTCTGATTACGGTTGACTGTTTTGTCAATCACCCCCAATCCATCCAACCAAGAAAATCCAATATCAAAGTCTATTTCCAAAACTAATTCCCTCCTCCTCTCCCACTTCTAAGCGATGCAAGTATCCCAAAACCTCAGCTGTGGCGCCATCAATTCAAATCCCGTAAACCCTAATTTCATCTCCTGCAACTCGAATTGTTCGTCTTCTCTCAAATTCAACAGTTTGGGTTTCTCCGCCGCAGTTTTTCCGACGTTCAAGGCCACCATACCCAGAATCCCCAATGCCAACACTTTCAATAGCGCCGGGCGCCGCCGTTTCCGTCCCTTCGCCGCCGCTAAAACTGCCTCCTCCGGTCCTGATTACTATTCCGTTCTGAAAGTCGGTAGAAATGCCACTCTGCAAGAAATTAAAGCCGCGTATCGCTCACTTGCCAGGAAGGTATGTATGTATGTATGTATGTATGTACATACTAATATATATATTGATTTGTTCCTCTACATTTAGCTGAACGTTATGCAGTTAAAATGTGATTTACAATTAATTTAATGTTTTTTATTGTGTGATGCAGTACCATCCTGATAAGGGTTCTGGTGCTGAAGACAAGTTTAAGGAAATAGGTGCTGCATATGAGGTACCTTTATATACCTGTAGTACCATTTTTTAGTCGGAAAAAACACTTGATTTCTGAAAATTTGTGGTGCTGATGAAAACTAGTATACATTTTCTCGTGAACGTATTTCATCTGCGCATGTTCCTACTATGCATTTTATTTGTTTAATAATATATCTTGAGCTTGTACCAAGTATCTGCAAGGTAGTTTATTCCATGATCAGATAGTTACCAATTTCTGACCCTCTTACTTCAATTGAGATGGGCACAGAAGCCTGATTTGTCAGCCTAAGTTAAGTAATTGGTGCATTTGAGTGCATTGATTTGAGTTATCAGACAATTTCTTTCTTTTGGGTCCCTACATTGACAAAGCATTTGTGTAGGTGTTATCAGACGCTGAGAAAAGATCCTTATACGATCGTTTTGGGGAGGAAGGTCTACATGGAGAATTTGATGCCGCTAGTGGTGGTTCAGGGGTATGTCCTACGCTATTCACAACACTTGCCGTATATATATAAGCAATATAAGTTCTTCCAGATGTGTAATCTGCTACCTCCCTATCTATTTATGCTGCTCCCTTTGATCCGATTGGCTACACGGCTGCTTACTGTAAGTTGCATGTTTTAGGTGGATGCTTTTGATGCTTTTGCTGAGTATTTTGGTGGACCCAGTGGCTTTTTTGGAGGAAGCAGTAACCAAGGAGGCTTCAATTTTAATTTTAACGGAAATAGCAGCCAGAATCTTGACATCCGGTAATAATCTATTGGATTATTAGCATGATCTGTTTATTTGATATTATCCATGGGCATAACATGAGATATGTTGTTTCCATAATTTATTCTATGGATTTTCAGATGATAAACATGCTAGCAAGTCATACAAGTCCGAAATAGAATCATGAACCGTTCCCCCACGATACATAGATATCCATTTTTAGGACATTCCCGTTCAATAATGTCATTGGTTTGTCTGAAAATTTTGCCTGGACTTTTTGCATAGTTTCTTATGGATAATTCAAGAGGATAAAAATACGTTTACTTTATGAGGCTTCAAATTACAGTGGGTGGTGTGTTGGAAACAGGAGCTGAAGGAAATCGTTTTATTGCCTGAAATGCATTCTTGTGTTATCTCACTTTCTTTTTGCAAGAAGATTGTCTAAACACAGTAGGATTTTTAAACATGTGCATTTATATATGTGTATGAAAGTTGGTTAGAATGTCATTATGATAAGCATGATGTTGGCATCCTTCATTGGATTTACTGTGCAGATATGATTTATATTTGAGCTTTGAAGAATCAATATTTGGAGGTAAACATGACGTTGAAGTACCATGCTTAAATACATGTGAGGATTGTAATGGAACAGGTGCAAAGCCCAACAGTAGTGTGAAAATGTGTGCTGAATGTGGTGGTAGAGGACGGGTGGTGAGAACAGAGAAGACACCTTTTGGAATTATGTCTCAGGTACTCTCATAAAATAATTATGTGACATATAAATGCATGGCACCTAGGTCAAAGTCTTTGGTTTGTGTGAAAGTGGAAAGTTCTGATTTTTGAATGTGGGGAGCTTGATGTTCCAATAATCATGAGGGGCAGGTGCAAGCTATATATTTGTCGGAAGGGTCTTCACTTCAAAATGGAATGATTTTTTAAGAGAATATATAGTTTAGATGGCTTTTGGGGTTTGTCTGCTAATGAACATTTTGCTTTTCCTGTGAAAAGCAATAAAAAGTTGCAAATTCAATCAATATCTGGTGTATAATTGCTTCCTCTATTGTTTGATGCTTCACTTCACAATTAGTATTTTTTTTTTTAAAATAGAATTGAAAGCAGCACGCAATTGGCCATTAGTTTTCTCAACGAGGAAATCTGTTCCATATGTTTCTCGTCTTTTAATGAAACAAGCTTTATATTGACTTAGCCCATTGTATTGGTCATAATATCGCCTTTTGATTGTGTAAGTATTGTCTTGTGCTGCATTTTGTCAGTATCTTTGCGACTAAGATATAAATGATATACACAACACACTCTTAGCATACTGTTATTTCTCTGATAGGTAATGTGTTCATGTTCAGGATGAATTGTTGCCTTTGGTAGAGTGTCGGTAAATCATAGACTGATATAAATCATTTTTCCTTGAAAGTAAATAAATCAGATGCTATAGTTACCATTTAAATAGAAATGAATGACCAGATCATACCTTCATACTATGGTTGACTTATTTGTTTGGACGATCGAACATATACTAAGGTGGCATCCATTTGAGCTGAATAACCAAGATATCCCTTTAGTTGAGAAGTTTCATTGTCTGTTTTTTCATTTCTGAGCATCTTTCTTTGATGATCTTCCCAATTTGACAGATATCATTGCTCAAGGAAAACAATTATTCGTAAAACTGTTTGTGATTAAATTCTCTCTGACTGTGTCCAATGGATATTTGAGATTTCGAATTATCTTATTTGTTGTTTAAGTTTGCGTGATCCAATCTGTTGAATGGTTGTGCGATATGCATAAATGTCAGAATATCTAGAAGCTTAGAGGTTTAATTCTACATCTTGCTTTGACATTATGTATAGATGATTGTGTGTGAACTCTAGGTGACTTCCTGCTCAAAATGTCGTGGTGAGGGGAAAATAATCACGGATCGCTGCCGAAAATGCAATGGACGCGGTCAAGTTCGAGCAAAGCGGAGTATTGAGGTTGTTGTTCCACCTGGAGTTGATGACGGAGCCACAATGCAAGTCCGAGGAGAGGGAAATTCTGATAAAACGAGGTTTGTGTTTGAAGTGTAAATGTTTGTTTAGGAAATGAAGTTATAGGCTCCTCTTGGCTATTGAAGTGGATGCTATTGGTTTGCTTCTTTTGTATGTTAAGTTACTGAATATATTCAAGTATAAGCGTAGCCTGTGAATATTTCTGCTCTTTTAGATTACTGAAATTTAGGTTTTTTTTGTCTTTTCTTTATAAACCAAGATTTTCTTGTCGTGTTCTTTTGCACGTCTTTTGTTTAATGAATTATATCGGATATATAATATATTGCTTTCTCTAAAAACTGAAATTGTTGCCTCGGTTTTTAATGGACAGGGGTATAGCTGGGGACCTGTATCTGGTCCTCCATATTGAAGAGAAACAAGGAATTCAAAGAGATGGAATGAATCTATACTCAAAGCTAGTCATCGACTACACAGAAGCAATTCTGGGGACTATTAAGAAGGTAAAAACCCTTTCCTGGATTCTAAATAATGTTCCGCTTTTGATATATCTCGTATCTGAGTCGTTCTTTATCAACTACAAGAAGAAAGAACAGAAAAAGGGAAAATGAAATGATTTTTGTGATTATTCTGAGTGCTTGCTAGTTTGATGGATATTTTAGTCATGATAAACTGCATTATACTTGAACTGAAAATCCCCTTTTTGCCCCTCTAAAAGTGATATATTGTGTTTTCATGCAAATCACAGGTGGATAGTGTTGAAGGTAGGAAGGATCTTCGGATTCCCCCGGGAACTCAGCCAGGGCATAAGTTAAGGTTACCATGCATGGGCGTTCCAAATATAAATAAACCTTCTGAACGAGGCGATCATTATTTCACTGTGGATGTTCAAATCCCTAAATACATTAGGTTTGTATCCCTAAATAATTACTGCTAGCGTAATTGAGCCAATTCTTTTTGCTTCAATACATCTTTCAGTTGCTTAAATCATGAAGAAATTTATCAACTGATGTAATGCCCACAACCTTGTTAGTGATGCAGAACGAGCACTAGTTGAAAAGTTGGCTTGCCTTAGGAAAATCGAAGGCTATACAGTCCCAGGAAACGACGGAGGTTTTCTTCTTAACTCATTAGTTGAATTTGAATAAAATCGATTTTTCCCCCCTTCCATTTTATAGTTTTATCAATCTTTTATTCCTAGGAACACGTCGTAATGGCGGCAAAGACCAATCTTCAAGCCAGAAAATGCATTGGTGGAAGTCAATCAAGGGCGTGTTAGGGTACGTTACATTTCAGTACTTACGTGTTACTCTTTTTACAGCATAACTAATCAGCTTTATCTTCATATATTGAATGTATGGATTTCATAATATCAACTATTTATTTCAATCCTCCTAGTTGGCAGAATCTTTCGAATGTGCGCAGAAAATCACTTGTGTATTATTATCATAGTAGATTTAGTTATCTCGTTAAACATACAAGTATACTCCGGCTTGATTTTGAATTCAATTAACTCTCTTCTAATTATAACCCATTCGACAGGAGAAAGGGACCCGGGGAAGCATTTGCATCGGTCTGCATTGATGCACCGGCACCATGGCTTTACAAAAAGCCTCTGCCTAATTTGCCCTCATTGATTACTATTTCTATTATTTTTGTTTCGGCAGTTGTCACTTTCTTCATGAGCAAATCCAGGTGCTGTAAATTTCGGCAACAAAAGAAACAAATCGAACACCGTTCTCTTCCACCAAAGAATGTAAAAGGGTAATTCAATCAATATTCGTATACTCTAAATTCCATATAATGTAATCTTTATACTTAACATGCCATTGGATCGGAGGAATTGTTCTTCAGAATTTATAATTTATACCACAGTTTACGCTATGAACAACGAAAAATGGGCTCGAGCTCGAGCTTTTGTCGAGTCGGTCTTTCGGCTAACGAACCAGCTTTGCCCATTTACACCCCTTTTAACTGGTTTAATTGTACCAAGCTGCATCATTAAAATTTAAGCGCCCAAAAATCGTCATGCTCGGTTTCTTGGTGACTATAGAGGTCTCATAGGTGTTGTTTGGCAAACTTTTATGTCGAATATAGTAGAGTTAATATTACATGTTCTTTCGGATCTTAGTTTAGTAACTTCTTACATTCGTTCCATTTTAGCACCTGAACTTAACTTTGTCACTGCAATGAATCTACTTTTTTCGTTTCAGAATTTTTTTAATATCTTAGTTCATATTCAACCAATTAGGTTTAAGGCCAAACTATGCTCCATGAAAGTAGTTGTCGTTGTGGCGTATGAGAATCGTGTCTTATTTTGTTTCTTGTCGGCACGAACAACGTCAATTTGGAGTAAGAAAAATAATAAAATTTATGATATTTGGTATAAAATTGATCTGAAAATGGGGTTTTGATTAGTACAAATTCCTACCTTGTTGCTGTCGATATTAAGTTGTTTAGCTATTCTGCTTGCAGATTTTTCTTGCACGAAGGAAAGAAAGTGTCTTTATTTTTTTTTTTAATTATTATTATTATTATTATCATTTTTTATTTTTAAATATGAACCTTCTCATATAAATTAAAGGGCAAATTACAGCCGTACCGAGGTAAGCCTAAATTACGTAAAAACACTCTCATGTTTGGATAATTACATTCATCCTTCAATTATATTTATCTTCTGAAAAAACTACTTCAGTAGATGAATTTGACACCATAAGAGTGAAATTATAATTACCCAAACATACGGGTTTTTTTCATAATTTGAGCATACCTTGGGGGGTTTTATGCAATTGTGTTGTGTGTGTGAGTTTGTGGGGACAGGTAACAGTTAATAAAGTAACAAAGATGCCAATCCAACAAAAGCCCTTTTTTAGCATATATTGTCACATTGATGCATATGATTATGTTGTGTTGCCCTTTTTACTTTAGATAAATCTTTTCTTACTCAATTATTAATAATGATAATGTTTTTTTATTCAATTTCTCACCTATAAATTGTTTCTCAATTAAATATATCTTTAAATTATGGGCTCTACATTTTGGCAGGTAATAAGTAGCACAATTCAATTCTTAGATTAACACGATGCATGTTTGTATAGGGTGATAAATATTATGTGTGTCCAAATAAGTCAAACCAACTAGGGCATGATATTCTTCTTCTTCTTCTTTTAGTTTCTTTAAATTCTTTTCCAGGCTTTTCGAATCGAAATTAATAATTTTCGTTCGATAGATTCGGTTAACATTGATATATTACTATTTGCAGTTATTATTTTAACTTGGGAGTATGATAGAGTTTCGTGGTTTATTATTGGCACGCCACGTTCTTGATAACAATTAGGCAAATGAAAAAAAAAAAATCAAATGTCAATGCCAGGAAAAATGTTTATGGAAAAAAAATGGTGAAAATGGAGGTCAATATTCTATTTTTGTTAAAATTATAGTAAATGTGCAATATTGATAAAATAGGATTTGGTGATGAAATTGAAGTAAAATTAGATGTTAAGCAATATTTTAGTCTTCTATATATATATTATTGTAACGGTATTTGCTAATTATTGCCATAAGTTACTATTGGTACATAGAAATTGTCATAAACTTTCGTATCTCTACCAAGTCGAACCCCATAATATTGAATATCTAGACGGTTAAATTGTTCAATAATTGTTTTGTGAAAATACATTAAATATAATGGAAGCTAAACATTGCATTGTATATAATATAACATTTACAAAATTATAATAAAAATGACATATTATGGAATTACTTTAATTGATATTATGAACATATAAAATAATCGATATATAGGAGTTCAACGTGAAAATACAGTAGAACCTCGATAAATTAATACCCCATAAATTAATAACCTCGTTTAAATAATAAATTTTCCCGGTCCCGACTCGGGGACAACATGTTAAATTAATAATTCGCTAAATTTATAAAATAATACACATTCAAAAATTTTAAGAAGCCCAATATAATATATAAATTAATAATGCATAAAAATAATTTTTAAAATACATCGTACAATACATATTTTATAGATCTATGAAGGCTTAAGACAATATAATTTAATTCTCGCTTGTTTCTTGTTGAAGTTCACATTACCATCGATATAGTCCCTCACATTTCTTAACATGGTTAGAACTTTCGGTATAGTTTTCTCATAACCTAGCATAAATCGTTGTATACCATTGCTGCTTTAAGAGCTTCCGTTCGTGAAACGGGCTCTTTAGTACATTGAACGAATGGTACAATGAATAATATACACATAATTTTTTTTAAATAAATGTATTTATTGAAAATAATAATAAAAGTAATCATAAATTAATAAGTTATTAATTAGTGTATAAATTAATAATTATTAATTTATCGATAATTTAATATTTCGTTAATTTAATGAAATTTTGATGGTCCCAACTATATTAATTTATAGAGGTTTAACTGTAAATAAACAAACCTTGCAAATAGAATTGTGTTCTTCAACAACCAACCCAACCAAATCAAATAAATGTGTTTGAAATTTGAATCCAATGACAATCAAACCATTCACACTTATGGATTACAATTAAGTCTCAACAATTTATATTTAAATTGACAATCTAGTCTTTTTTAGGGTAAATTACATCCTCATCTTGAGGTATGCTTAAATAACTTTAAGGTCCCTGTAGTATCGATAATTACACTCACCCCCTGAAACTTAGTTAGAAACTCTAATGAGATAATGCATTGGATACGTTATTCTGATAGCATTCGAACGGACTATTTGTTTCAGGAAGTGGTGGAGGCAACAAATAGTTATGAGTGATTTAAGAAATGTTGGGGGAGCTACGTCACCCCCTAATTCTATGTTGTTTCCACCACTAGCTAAAAGTAATAGTCCGTTAGAACCCTATCGGAATAACATATCAAATGAATTATCCCATTAGAGTTTCTAACTACGTTTCAGGGGGTGAGTGTAATTATCTATACCACAGGGACCTTAAAGTTATTTAAGCATAGCTCAGGGATGTGGGTGTAATTTACCCTTTTTTATGTGCTCATTTATATGGATATATAAATTTATTTGTGTTATTTAAAACAAATTAATTAATGCGATAATTATTATGTTACAAATGTAGTTCGTGTATACCTATTAAGTCTAACTTAAAAGGCAGAATAACAGACACAAGATAGTTTAATGTGGTTTGGGCATAATGTGACCTATATCAGGAGAACTTACAAATAAGATTTTCACAAGTTCAATTTTATGTGTACAATAATAAGATGTTTTAAAAACGGTTAAGCCTTTTTCTTTATGTAATAGGCCATTTTTGTATACTACTCGAACTTTTTGTCTTCACAAAGTCAGCTCCTTAATCCGCACTTCTTGGACTCTCTCCAATACGAAACTCCCATTAGATGTTAGCTCGACCTTTCCCCAGATCTTCTAAGGACTTTTCTCGAAAGTGAAACGCCGATCTTCTTTATGACTTGGTAGAAAAACAATATACTTGTCGCAACTACACCGATGGCACAACAATGATCCGCAAATTGTTCTGCCAAAACCTTCTTGTTGTGATCTATTTTTCTCAGATAAAAGCACCAAGGTTTTCGCTGTATAAAGTGGCTTATATAGGAACGAAATAACCAACTATGAACCTAGTTTGAACATAAATAAATCAATCCTAATAAAATATAATTTTTCATTATTTCTACTACCTAATCTAGAATCTAGATAAAGATAAATCTTTTTTCCTAATTTAAAATAATTACAAGGTAGGAGTAATAAATAAAATCTAGATAATATAACTCTAAACTATTCATACTATAATCAATTTTCAAACAAATACATGGAATAAAATCTTTGTTAATCCTTATCAAAATGGTCTCATCAAATTTCCTCAAATTTCATTTTGAGAAATCTGGCGCGCACGCCAACAGTTTTTCCTTTTGACATTGATCATAAAATGTTTCTCCGACAACTGTTTTTCTTTGAATTTTATGAGGCATGTTGTAAAGTTTTTATCCAATCAATCCTCCCCAGTTTTTCCACTTAGTTAGTATAACAAATGTGCATTTTTATTTTAAAACGTAATATTCGATTAGATATGTTGATAACATGATTTCGTGTGGCTTGTTATGCGAAAAACTCACACATAAGTATGATTGAGGACATATTACAAAATTTATAAGGATGCATCTTTCATGAACTCTGTTATAGTTGGTTCAGCGAGGGTTCTCGTGAATCAACATTGAACAATGATAGTTGTCATCCCACACTAGGCCAAAACACAGTTCTGGCGACGTTAAAATTTGCGACTAAATCAAAATCGTCGCAATTTTGCGACGATTCCTATTACATTAGTCGCAACGGTTTAAATCCCGCTTTTGACTCAAAACCTTGGCGACGAAACACGAGTATCGTCGCTAGGGTGCGTCGAATCTGTCAATAAACGTCGCAACGAGAAAACAAAAATCTTTTTCATATATTTTTGAGACGAAAAAGCGATAAACGTCGCGAAAAGTAATTTTTTTTTATTTTTAAAGTATATGTTAGCGACGAAAGTTATATAATCGTCGCAAGGAGTTTGAAAAAAATATTTTTTCCTTCAATCCCTGCGACGAAATACACGTCGTCGCAATTAGAATAATTTTTATTTTATTTATTATGTTACCTGCGACGAATTGTGACTAAACGACGCAAACAAATTGCATTTATTTCTTTTCCCGTTGCGTCGATTTAGGAAATAGTCGCAGTTAGAATAAATTATTTTCATTTTATTATTTTTTAATAAATATTGCGACGAATATGTTTATGAAACGTCGCAAGTATTTTCTCTTTCCCAAATTTTGGAGCCCAAATTGCTACGAATATATAAACGTCGCAATGGAATTGATTTTTTATT